AAGTTCACACGTATTTCAAGAGATGCAGCGAAAAAACGCAACAACTTCGTGCTTTGTTCTATGTAATCTTGTAATTTTCAACACAGCTGAGCGGCATTTTGTATTATTGCCTGAAGTGAAATACTTCTTTTCTTCCAGCATTTGTGTCTATATCGGCTCTGGAACCCACCCAGCCTCTTAATTCTATGGGTACCTGAGGTAAAACGCGGCCGGGCCGTGACGTTGACCACTCACCCCGATCTAGGGCCGAGGTCAAGAATGAGTTTGAGGTATACTTGCTCTCCCCACAAGCGCCTCCATGGCGTATGGCGGGGCAGCTTTGCTTTTACTCATATTCATTGGTCTAAAACACAAAAATTATAAAGAAAATCGGAGAACGTACTAGTAGGCAAATGAGTTTGGTCTAACAGTAGGTTTATAAGTAGGGAGAGCTAAGTAATCCAGTTCATGCCTCGCCAGAATACAGAGCGTAAATGTAATGTGGTGTTAGGTAAAGACAGGTTCTTTGTCCACACTTAATTTTGTGTATATTGTAATGGCATTCCATTGCAGGTGCACTGAATCCTGCGGAACCTCGAGTTCTGGTAGCTGAAGCTTGGTCATGGACTGGAAAGGGGTTGAGGCTCCGTTTCTTCAGGAGAGGAAACTGAAAGAAAATCTACTAAACTCAGCGAAGAGGTACTTGTGATACTGTTACTGTTTCCACCTTCCTCACTCTTTTAAGAATCTGTGGAGGAACATTTTCTGATTGAGTGATTCAGCCTCGTCTTGTGTTTATGAGAGGGAACGACGCAGCTGATGAATTTCGTAGGCTATGTAAATGCACAGCAGTGGAGCTCTCAGACTCTCTTTGTTTTATCAGAGATCATAAAGCGGGAGCCTTTGAGAGCGAACCTTTAAAAGGAGGATTTAATTCTGTTAGGAGCTGCATTGACAGCTGCTTTAAAAATACTTCCTGGTGAAAATAAGAAATCGACTTCTACTTAATTATAACTGAATCCCAAGGAGTTGGTTTTTGACTGGGATAATAGTGTGAAGTGAATATAGTCTAGTGTAGACTTTTGGGGTATTCTTTGAAGATGCCTTTAAGGTTTAGTGATGTGATTTTTATGTCGCCAGGCTAAATATAAATGTAATATTATGTCAGTACCAATGTTATTTAGTGAACTTTTTAAGTTAGGAGGGTACACGTAGCGTTATTAGCTTTGCAACAGAAGATATGTATCTGAAACAAATGGACATCACGTCTAATGAGGTATGCAGAATTGCAAAGAATGGATTTACAAAGGTATATGTCCCATTGGAATACACTTTTAAACTCGCATGGTGTGAAACTATTGTCTTCTAAAAACGCTAGGGTGATTAAATCAAGCAGGACATGCATCACGCAAGAGAAATGAATACAAAATTTTGGTCTGGTAGCCAGATGGGAAGGGACCATTTGGAAATCCTAGGGGTAGATGGGAGTTTAATATTAAAACGTATCTTAATGAAATAGGTTGGAGGCGTTGACTCGATTCGTGTGGCGGACTCTTGTGAACGTAAAAATCGTGAAACTTCCTGACTAACCCAACGACTATTGGTTTCTGCAGAAGGAATACTCTCCATGGTTAGATTTTAATAATTCAATTCAATTCAATTAATTTATAATAATAATAATAATAATAACAACAACAACCACAATATGTCTACTGCTTCGTGGTCACTTTGTCCTGTACACAGGCGCCTGACAGTTGTGTACTTGGTTAAAATACTGAAACTCATTCTCCGCTACATTTTTTTAGATGTCTTTTTAAATATTTTTTATCACGATGTGTAGTCCCTACATAATGTCGGTGTTGAAGGTTTCATCAGGAAATGGAACGGTTTCAGTGGATTCCATCTGAGCAGTATTTTTTTTCATCACTACTGCTTGTAACAGATTATGGATTCGACAAGTAGAAAGTAGGAGTTTGTTGGAATCTGTCAGAAGAAAGTGTGTCTGAGACTGCCACTTTACCTATATCGACTCATACCACACTAAATGGAAATCTCCTTTTTGTGGGCCTACTTTTTCTTTGTAGTTTTCATTTCTTTCGTGCAAGTTTCTTTCCATTTCATAGTCTGTGCTCTTTCTTCGCGTAGATCTGTGCCTAATCTAGCGTCCGGCAGCCACACTCGTATGCGAGGTGAGGCGAAGTTCTGACAAAACTGGAATAATTTGTGAAAGTCACTGTGGAGTGACAGTTGTTTTTTTAGGGCGCGTTTAATTTTAGTAAGTATAATTGCATCTGACCATCCACGACAAGAGACAGGAGCACCTATCGAAATTCAACCTTCTGAAGCCGAAGCTCGGCTAAATAATATTTAAGAATTTAGTTTAATTCAATCCGTTCCTTAAATAAAACAACACACCACCATTACAACGATTAACTGGTTAGTAGTGTTTACACTGAGGATCATACGAGACACATAAATACAAAATGCAGGTGGGGCATGAACATAAATTATTACGTTTTGAAACACTCATTGTCAGAAATATATTGGAGGTAATATTATTCTTAATCAAGAACCAGAACTTAATCTGAAAAATCGAAATTGTGCATTATTTTGAAAATCTGTTTTAACTGGGGTTTATAATGGAGATACTCTTGGAATGTGAGTTTTCGTTGGTTGTTTGTTGTTTGGTTTCTGGCCTGCGGTTTGCAGAAATTTGTCTTCAGACTGTTCGGTCTTGTGCTCGGGTTTGCCCTGCAGAAACTGTGAGTGGAATAATTGCCAGTGTTTTGAAACGACTCATGAAATAGCAATCTAATATGATTTATTTGCCTACGAAAGTAGGCCTGTATTTTCTTATAATATGATGTTTATTGAAAATAACAGTGAGTGAAAAATTAAATATACAACTTAACTAAAAAATTAAACTTGTCAAGAGTTCAGACTTTTTTTCTCGGACAGCTGAACATTCTAGATAATTACAAAACCTTTAAATAACAAAATTGTTTACATCTTTCCACATTGACCCGGTTTCAATGATGTCCCGCTTGTCTTCGTGTGATAAGACGATGATTCTGGCGATAACGTCTGTTATTTAGCTAAGCAAACCTCAATGAGTGTTTCTCCACCTACATGACTACGAGGCGTCCCAACCCTAAAGACTACAGTCGACAGTTTCAAATGTATTTTCCTGGACATGAGTTATCAAGTGTCTGTAAATTATTCCGCTCAGTCATAAGCTCATAAATGTTTGTCTTTTGGAGCCGCGGGTTATGACGACGTCTATGAAGTTTTAATAGCATTTTTGTCTAGTTGTTTATCTTCCTTGGACGCATTCTGTTGCTTTGTTGGGCGTTGGTGGGTTTCATTCCGATTTGTTGCTTTACTTTTTACTTTCAGACGGCCCAACAGACAGCCGGAGTATTAACTGCTTCTCTCGGCACTGTACCTAATCTGCTAATATTTCAGGACGCGGTTGAAGCCCAAGGCTCGTGGTTTCTCTCGGTTTGTTTGAATCCTGGGAGCTATGGTCCCGGCTTCTCTTTTATTCAATTGGGCATTAATTAAACTTCGAAACGAGTCGAAGCAGTGCTAGATATCTAACGTGTTGGAATTGTTTATGTATATTCCAAGGTCCTAAGACTATGTGCAACGCACTGTTACTGTGTTATCACAGAGAGCAGAGAAGGGCAGAACTTACTAAACGATTCTGATTTTGACTTATGTTACTTAAGTGTGTTCTGTAATCTGTGAAGAATGCACTGCCGAAGGACAGTCTGAAGAAAAGGACGCACTGAGAACATTTACAGTCGATAGGTTTTACAGTATAGGGACCTGCATGAATAACATTTGAGGTCCGCTGTGTTTGTTTGTGAGTACACATTCGTTACAAGTCTAAAGAAAAAGAATTAATAACTAACACCGCGGAATGTGGACCTGTTTGATAAATTAACAGATGCTAACCTGGTCAAGAAATTTCCCCTCCTAATATGGAGCTCGAAAGTTTATTGACGTCACATTAGCCCATCATTGACCTCTATCATGAGCCTGGTTAATCCAATCTACATTCTTACACCTTATTTCTTGAAGAAAAGTTTTATTGTCGTAGAGAGTTGCTTTGGGGTTTCCAACTAAAAATCTTTGTGAATTTCTCATCTTTCTCATGCGTACTACATGCCTTCCCATCTCAGCATCCTTGATCTGATCAATACGAGGCCCAACTACTCAGCACGTTGGTCTGCTTGTGTCCGCGACTGTGTCCCTGGCTTTATCATCAGGGCCGAAGTGAGGATGCTGGGAGGTAGCTGGTTTATGTAAATCACAAACAACTATGTCTGTTGTCTCACCTGCTTGGTGTGAACTGAAGCTTAAACTCGTGTTTCAGCAGCCATTTTCACCTCTTTCTATCTATTTTCTAAAATAAGGCATATCCGGAGTTAGGGTTTACAGAATATCACTTACTTTTACACATTATTTACACGTTCGTTTCTTCTGTGTCATTTGAAAAACATGCTAGCATGTCATTAGCTTTCTTCTGTCGAACGCTGCTGTTAAGTATAGTACGCTGTGCACTTTTTTACGATATTTTAGCATTTAGAATAAGCAAAGGAAATGAGGTTGTATATTCTCTACGAATCATATAAAGGTCCAGTGTGCGTATAAAACAATTGAGCTGGTTTATTTAATATGCTTAAACAGTGTGATCAGTAACGTGGAGCCGTTTTAAACTAATTGGATTGTGGTGTATAATGGGTTGAGATGTTAAATTGAACGGTAGTCATTCTACTATGTGCGAGTTATTAAATATAATGGAAAGGGATGTAATTGTCAGCGAGTGAAAAGGAATGTATAAGCTAATATTTCATTTCCCACCCAACACATTAATTTGATACTCGACGTATGAGGTATTTTCTCTTTTACATTCATATTAATCTTGCATCTGGGCACGATGTATTCGCGTGGTCTGTTTAGCAGGCCTTTCTGCGGTTTAAACTAGAAAGAAGCTTAAAAACGTTGGCTGCCCGTGTCTGATCTACGTGCGTAACAACCAACCTGCCGAGGTTTCTCGTTATTTGAACGCAGGGGTTCTCAACCTTTTCGAGGCCTGGGGCCACATTTACCGGGCGCAGGCATATATAAATGACGACGATTTATTGAAACGCAATGACAGTTTGTTAAAGTGCTACTAGGTTAGGCCTATTTCAGACCGGTTATGTATTAATCAAGATCTGTAACGGAGGAAATCATTATTGAGATACTGACACTCCTTTTGCTTCGGTAACCCTTCAGTATGACGTGTAATTTCTGTTACTGGAATTCTCGTGAATTCGGTGAGAAGCGCTGTAGTTTTTTTCATTTAACGTTCTTCATTAAGTTCTGCAGTTGCTCACATCTGTAATTATTACACTACACTGACGTAATTAACCCTTTGAAGCGCGAAGTTCAGTTTTTCAGTTTAGTTTTTTCATCAAAGAGAGTACAGTGCATCTCTGTTGCTAGGATGAGTTGGCTAGTGTTGTTAAACGAAATGATTGATGTATGCTTTGGGAATCATACGAAACCCATGAATACACTCTGTGGACAAAGTGCGTAGTTGGTGAATGATAAAAAAAGCGTTTGGTACGCCACTGTGCTTTAAAGGGTTATGGATACGTGATTTTTGATGTCAGGTAACTGTTTGTCATCATACAGAGTGACACAGT